CCCGGCCCCAACTCCCTCACGGGCCCCCCGGCGGCGGCTGCAGCGGCGGAGCCCCCGGCCCGGGCCCCAATGAGCAACTCCCGCAATAACCGGGTGATGGTGGAGGGGGTCGGGGCCCGCGTAGTGCGCGGCCCGGATTGGAAGTGGGGCAAGCAGGACGGCGGCGAGGGCCATGTGGGCACCGTGCGGAGCTTCGAGAGTCCTGAGGAAGTGGTGGTGGTGTGGGACAACGGCACGGCCGCCAACTACCGCTGCTCCGGGGCCTACGACCTTCGCATCCTGGACAGCGCGCCCACTGGTAAGTACAGCCACCTGGTCGGGTCTGCGCGCGTGGGTGGGAGGGCGAGGTGGCCGTGGGACAGCAGCCCCCGGACACCGGGAGGATGAGGTTACCAACCCGGGAAGCAACTTGCAGAGCAGACCCCTACAGCCTACAAAGAGAATGGTGGCAGGTCCATCACCAGGATGCTTTTAAAGTCTCCTAGATGAAAAGCTTCACAGACAACCGACACGGTGCCCCCCGCCCTCCTCCTCCTCCTCGTTCTGCTCCACCTCTAGGGCTGGGGATAGAGGAGGCCCTGTCTAATAAACCATTTGAAATTAATCAGCTGCCAAGTGATAGCTGAAGGGAGGCTTGCCTTGCCATATGGTGCTGAATTGCCAGGGGGCCGTTGGTGGTTTTCTTCCTTCCCCGGAGCCTGTAACACAGAATGACTTAGAGTTCAGTTGGAAAATGCTATTTGAGACTGAAATGCTTTTTCATCAAAATTGCTTAATTTTGTATATTTGTAGTAATAGTGGTGGTGGGGAGAGGGAGAGGGAGGAGAGAATGTTTTACATACTTCTTCCAAGGGGAAGGCGGATGTAGTAGACACCTGATGTTCTTTTTCTTTCGTTAGCATCCAGTCTCTGTAACAATAGGCTAAATTCTGCCCATTCACCCTGGGAGTTAGTGCTTTTCTTGATTTACTTCATGATAGAGGTCTATTTGTTACTGACTATAGTTTGTATGTGCTAATCTGAAGTCTTGCTCTCAAAATAAATGATTTAATCGTATGGGTACTTAGATTTATCTTGATTATTGTATTCGGTTTTTTTTAAAAAGTTCAAATTGAAATTCGATACATTTCAAAATTTATAAAGCGGAGCTGCTTCTAAGACATTGAGTTTGGCAAAGCCAATGTCTTGAAAAGAAACCAACATAACTCAGTTTTGAACAGGTAATACACACACACACACACACACACACACACACACACATTTTTTGGGGGAATAAGGGGAAGACAAGGTCCAATGCAGTCTATGTAGCCTGGTCTTGAACTTGCTCTGTATTGCTGAGGCTGCCCTTGCACTACTGATCCTACTGCCTCAGCCTCCCCTGTGTTGAGATTATACCAGGCATGTACCACCATATCTAATTGAAATTGTGTTTCGTAGCTCGGTTTTTTAAAAAAATATTTTATTTATTATTTTTATTTTATGTGTATGCGTGTATTGCCTGCATGTAGGTAAGTGCACCTGTGTCATGAAATGCCCGTGGAGGACAGAAGAGGCCGTCGGATCCCCTGGGACTGGAGTTTCAGACAGTTAGCTGCCATGTGGGTGCTGGGATTCGAACCCAGGTCCCCTGCAAGAACAGCCAGTGTTCTTAACCACTGAGCCATCTCTCCAGCCCCTGCTAGTTTTTGTTTTTAAAGCACTGAAAAGGATGTATGTTCATGACTCAAAATTAAAGGGTTCAGTACATAAAACGGCAGCCATTGTTCCCATTGTTGCCAGTTTCTTGTGTATGCTTACAGATCACTGCATTGCAAATACAATAGTGAATATACTGAAACTATTCCCCCTTTCAAGGGCAAATAGCAATAGACTATATTTACCTTCTGTACTTTGTGTGCGTATGTGTTTCTGGATGTGCATGCACCTGGATGTGCAAGTGTGGAGGTTGCAGGTTGGTGTCCATGTCTTCTCAATCACTTTTCCACTTGATTTTTTTGAGACAGGGTCTCTCACTGAACCTGGAGCTCACTGATTGGTTAGACTGGCTGGGCAGCAAGCCCCAGGGATCCTCGTTTCTCTACCTGCTCAGCACTGGGATTCAGGCACCTTGAGTTCTGCCTCGTCTTTTTTACTATAGGGTTGAGATACATCTCTTTTGCACTTTTACTTTTCTTTCACTTAAAAATTTTTACTGGTTAAAAAAAGAAAAATTGTACTGGTGATTGTCCCATGTTCGCACATATGTGTAGGTCTGCCTTATTCTTTCATGACTGAATATTCCAGTGACAGGAGGCAGAAATTACTTAACCAGTACTTTTTATTGAAAACATTTATATTGTAGGTTTTCTTATTTACAGTGATGCAGTACATAAATCCTTGTGTAAAGAATCTCTGTTACTCCTGCAGAAGTGAAATTGCCGCACCAAAGCATGGGCATATTTGACATTCTGATAGAAATTGACTGTTGTTCTCCAAAGATATTATATGTCCAGCAACAGTGTATGACGGATATGCCTGTTTCTGCACACTTTTTACATTTTATTTTCATGCTAGCTCAGTCTAAAGTCTGACCACAGCTCAATAGTATGGAGGAATTTTTAGAATCAGTAATTGTAGGTTTATGGGAAAATTTAAGTGTCTTTCTAGGGTAGAGGTAAAGTGTAATAGATTCTGAGCTACAGTGATTTGTTTTTTTTAAGTTCTCTCAAACATTTATCATTTCTTCGTGGTGAAAAATTAATCTTTTCTTCTACCTTTCTTATTATTGTCACCCATTCTTCTGTGCGTAGACCACCAGAACCCACTTCTGTCTTCTATAGTGATTTCCGAAGGGATGTTAATATTGTCTCTGTTTGTAGTATGGAGTCTATATTAACAATTTAATATGTTTATGTATATGCTTTTCAGAAGTAACAGAGTCTCTGTTCATGGCAGGATAATCTGACACTTTATGTGATACAGTTCATCTTGCTCATCTGATTCTTTTTGAAAAACTTTTTTTTTGGTTTGGGGAATTGAGCTTAGGGCCCTATGCATGCTCTACCATGGTGCTAGTTGCAGCTGGTAGGAAGCATTTGAAAAACACTTTATGTACATGTAAGTTAGGTAGTCTTCATGTGAAGTGCTTGTTGAAACATGTTTTACTTTCTGTGGTTTGATTTCATCCATTTTTATTTTTAAAAAAGTATTGAACAAACAAGCCCTTGACTCTAATTTTATCTGTAACCCTTATAATACTTTCATTTTTTTCTTCGAAATGTTTAATAACTGATGTCCACTGACATTTTATGCATTCTGTAAGATTTACTCTATTATATTTAGTACCTGATACTTATTTACATAATAATTAAAATTACAAATTACAGCTTTGACTTTGTAGTAATTTTAGGCTTTCTTTATTGTAAAATAAATGAGTTCGTTTGCCTTTTTATCCATCTTCATTTAGTAATCTCTTCTAAGATTCTTTGTCTTTTATAGGCACTGGCCAGTAATCATGTAGACTCTCCCTCAAACTGGGTTTGTCTAATGTTTCCTCATGGTTAAATTCAGATCATGTGTTTTGGCAAGAGTATAATAGAAATAACTTTACCCTTCCCAGTACATTGCATTAGGAGGTACGTGATATCCGTCAGTCTTGTTACTGAGGGTGTTAACTTAGCAAGTCAGCAGCAGTTTTGCCCTCAATTACATTTGTGCTGCCAACATGAAAGATTCGATTAATCTCTTTTGTATTTTTATGCCAATACTTTTGACCACTTGAGTCCTACAGAAGGGTCTTGGGGTCTTCCCTCAGGTTGTTTGCAAAAGCAAACCTGTGGAATGTTGAGACTAGGGATGCACCTCAATGGGAGAGCATTTGTTAGCTGTGCAAGACCTTCGGTTTGATGATCGGGTTGGAAAAAAATAAATAAAAATAAAAACTGTGTTATGTTAGAGTATAAGGAACTATTATTTATTAAAGTAGGAGCTTTAAAAATTGCATTTATGCTGTGCCTGGTGGCTCACGCCTTTAATCCTAGCACTTGGGGGGCAGAGGCAGGTGGATCTCTGTGAGTTTGAGGCCAGCCTGGTCTACATAGCGAGTTCCAGACTAGCTGGGGCTACAGGGAGACCCTATCTCAAAAAGACCAAAAAAAAATTACATTTATTTGTGCATACATTTGTCTGTGTGTATATGTGTACATGTATATGCACATGTGCTTGCTGTGGTACACAGATGGAGGTTCTCTTCTTCCACCTAGTGGGTCCAGGTGACTGAACTCAGGTCATCAGGTTTTGGTGCCAGGCATCTTTACCCACTAAGCCATTGTACTACCCCTAAAGTAGGATTTTTAAAAAAATTATTATTATTTATTTGATCTTTTTGAGACAGGGTCTCCCTGTAGCCCCAGCTGATCAGGAACTTGCTATATAGACCAGGCCCGCCTTGAATGCTCAGAGATCCTCCTGCCTCTGCCTCCCAAGTGCTGGGATTAAAGGTGTGTGCCACCATGCCTGGCTTTTGTTATTTTTCTTTTATGTTTATGAGGGTTTTGCCTGTGTGTATGTAAGTGCACCTGTGTTGTGCAGTGCCTATGGAGTTCAGAAGAGGGAGTTGGATTTGATTATTCTCATTCTTTGCTCTGTACTCACACCTACATTATATGAAAAGAAAATTGATTGCAGTATGTTTGGGAATTAAGAAATGGATAACCCAGACCTGGGGAGATAACCTAGTTGATAAGCATGAAGACTTGGGTTCCATCTCGAGAACCCACATTAACAACAACAAAAAAGCTGGGAGTCTGGAGAGATGACTCGGGTTAAGAGCACTGGCTGATCTTGCAGAGGACCCAGGGTTCAATTCCTAGAACCCACATGGCAGCTAACAACCATCCATAACTCCAGTTCTAGGGTATCTGACGCCCTCTCCTGGCCTCCATGGGCACTGCTTACATGTGGTGTACTTAGACACATGCAGGCAAAACACTCATACACATAAAATAAATTAAGTAAATAATAAATAAACAGGCTTGGAGGCATGCATTTGTAATCCCACCACTGGGGAGGTGGAGACAAAGAAGGATACTTGGGGCTTGCTGGCTAGTTCTAGGCCATTGAGCAACCCTCTCCAAAAAACCAAGGTGGAGGGTGCCTGAGGAGTGAGACCTTAAGTTATTGTCTATCTCCATGTGCTTACCAGCATACATGAGTACCCCTTCCACCTCCCCCCAACATATACATGCACACACACACACACACACACACACACACACACACACAAAATACTCAACATTTTTACATCATAAAATATTTATT